TTGCGTTTAGCATGTGAGCCACCTCTGACTGCCTCTATTCTTAGGCCACTCTCTTTCTATAGTACAAAGGTCAGCAGACACTGGGGAAAGAAATCTGGGACATTCTTCCTCTTCCTTATGATGAGCGGAAGGGTTGACTTCTTGCAAGCCATTCCCAAACTGAACAGGCTTGGTGGATTCTGTTTGGGCTGAGAAGAGTCTTTTTTGGTTGAATTTCAAAAGGTTACACCACAAAAGGCAGATTGTTATTTGTGCCCAGAATGCCAACATCAGATGATTTCTCTGTTTCATAATATATAGAATCCGTATGTCTAAATAAAGCTTAACAAAGACACTTTTGAGTTATCAAGTACATTGCAGACTCCACAAAAATTAATCAAGGGGAGAGGTCTTTACAGACCTTGGATACCATCTCTGTTTAGTCTGGCCAATAAACAATGAAAATCCTTAATACATTTCAACTTCAGTTGGACTTGTTTAAATAAAGTGTAATGTAACAAGAATGTATTTGACCTTCAATGATAGACAGTAGATATTTAAGCAGAGGTTAAATAGCCATAATTCAGGTAGATTAAAGAATTTTCTGGCATCTCATTGATGGGATCTCACACCAGTTTTAAATCTTACTCCTAACATTTGTGTTGCAGTGTCTAAATTTTGCTCGATAATCCTCTTGCCTTAAAATCACCAGAGGAATCCAAAACTTATTTTTTTAAAAAGAAAACTCAGGGTGATTCTTTTTTCTTGTTTGTGCAGTGTTGTTTATCTTCTCTCCCTCTTCCACTGGATGGATGTGTGAGGTCATCCTATTTATGTACATCATTTGCTTTTTTGGAGTTCCTTTTCTTTGGAGCAGGAGACAGATGGGGTCCTATTTAAAGTCCAATAATCCCATCCGAGTTTGGCTTCTGTTCTAAGTTCATCTGGCACATAGTTGAAGGAACAGAGAGCTTTGTCAAACTTTGGCTGCAATGAATAGAGATGTATGATCTTCGGAGACTGACTTCATACTGTGCTGGAGCATGTAGAAACTGGTTCCACTAGGCTTGGCAAGGTGTACCCCAGAAAATTAGCACTGTTTATGTTGCCAGAGCTAAGGAAACTCTGGGTGTAGGAGAAGAAGTAGCAGAACCTGGAGGTGGAGTTAAAAGAGGAATCAGCCTAGAATCCCTACATAGCCACAAGTGACCTGCATCCAACTCCCTTGAATTCCATTGACCCTTATCTATTACCAAGCAGTTGCTAACCAGTAGTTGAGAAGATTGTTGTGCTTAGACATGAATAGCAATAAATCAGTTTAATTGGAACTTCATGTGTGGACCTGGCCTTTCCTGCTTGACATTAGGCCAGATGCTCTTTGCATTCTATAGGTGCTCCATTTTTTTTTTAGTTTCTGGCTATGTAGTTTTCCTCCCTATGCTATCTCTCATTTCTTTCCCTCTTCTTAATTGTTAAAATATACTGCATAGTTTCCAACTAAGCCATGGAGGAGAATGAAAAGCCAGATACCGTTGTGCCACCTCAATGTCTGTGAATTTCTCGGCATTCTTTTTTTTTTTTTTATCTATGTCTGTAAATTTAGTAAATAAAATTTTCAGCACTCCAGCTCAGGAGAGCTAGGAATATTTCCATGCTAGCAACACACACACTTTTTGGGGCAGCAGCTTCACCAAACATCAGTAAACATGGCGGAAGGAAACTGAAATTGAAAAGGCATGATTGAGTTGACCTTAAATAAAATTGTGTGCGTGTCTGAGCAGGGACACTGAACAGTGCAGAAAAATAATGAAAAAGTGCATCATATCTGGCAACCTAGAGAGGAAACCACTGTTGTATAAAAGAGAGAGTTTTAAATGTCAGATCTACTCTACGTATTGCTGAAAGACTATTTAAAGAAAAGGCTAGCATCTTGCACTTCCCTTCTAAAGCCTGGGTTGGACCCCAGAGCCTGCCAAAAGTAGTAGCTCAGCTTTTTAAAGAGCCAGGATGGGAAACTCATTCAAAATATGTGAATACCTATACTTAATTAGACTGCAATTCAGATCAAACCAAAACCAGCTTTAAAGAGAGTTATAGGTCTCCGTGTTAAGATCATTTTTCAAAATAGGCAGTTATGATTCATATAAGTGGCTAAAGGCAGGTTACTGTGCATGCATAGAAGAGGAAATCAGAAAAAAGATACAGGTCAACAGATTTTAATTTATCAAATTTATAGACTGCTCATCTCACTCACAGAGGTTACTTTTTAGCCCATAAAGAACTTTCTAGTTTGTAGAACTTACCTGCGGCTCACATAACATCAATATATTCATTCTAAGAGCAAAAGAAGTTAGGGAGAGGAAGTGACGCTGGTCAAAGGTTCAGTTAAAAGAATAATTGTTGTTGTTATTTATTTATTTAAAACAATGCAGAGGCTGCCCAACTCCAAACAATTCTGGGAGGCTTTCTGTATAAAAAATTATAAGAACGACTGAAAAAGAAATGGATCATAAACATTCAGAAGGCAAGTTCCCTATTATCAACAACTAATCAAATTGTGTGTATTTATTGATTGATTAATTTAAAACTCATCGTTATACAGCCATCCACTTTATAGAATGCGACTCTGGGCTGCGTACAATGAAAAAAAAATCCACTCGTCTACACTCGCACTTACAACTGGATTTGCGTTTTATATTAAGCCATTTCTTGGTTTTGATTTAGCACTGCTAACTCCACTGCTATGATTCGTAAAGCATGGTTTAGTGTGCAGTGTAAATATAACCCATCGTGGCTTCTTTAGCAAACTCTTTCTTAGCCTGTTGTGTAAACCCTTGCTTATTTAGGGTGGAGTCGATAGTATCTTTGTTAGCATCTCCCAAAATGGCACTGAGGAAAATTCAAGATTTTAGTTTCTTCAGAACTGAAGGTGAAGAAGGTGAAAAAAAAAAAAAGTCTAAAAATGTATTGTATCTCCTGCCAGACTTTTCTTGCTTGGAGCCTAATTTGACTTTTTCCTAAGAAGAAGGAAACTATTAAAGCACCAAGTGATTTAATAGGGAGATTAGTCTCCCTCCACCCATGTTCAAATTCTCCTGTTCCGTCCACCCACAATATCAGGGCTGCCTCTCCTTATATTAATAGTCACCAATTGGCTCCAAGTTTATTTGGTTGTTTGTTTTTTTTTTGTTTTTAAACTCAGTGAGATTTGTGCAGTTTGTTCCTGCATCAACATGCCTTGGAAGGAGGCCAGTAATTTTCATACCTGCCTCCTTTTTATCACTTCTTGGTAAACACTCAGCCAGGAACAAAAAGTCAAGGTCAGGAGAGGCAGCAGGCAAGACGGGGAGGCAGGAGCCTGATGGAGGTCAGGTTGTGGTCAAGCTGTCTTTTGGCAGGTGGGAGGGAAGAGCGGCCCCTCCCTTGCCAAGTGATGCCAAAATCCTGTCTAGGTAACTAAGACATAAGCTCTAAACTGCCATACAAACATCCCATTGATTTTCCTATTCAGCAGCTGCAATTCCAGGAGGATCCAACTCCTTTGTTGAGGCAGAAACTTGAAAGACATCCTCCTGTCAACCCACTAGGCATGTACAGCATGGGGATATTATCACAAGCATCCTGACAGCTTGTGATAAGCTGATAAGAGAAGAGCAACAAAGATGATTACAGTCTTCCAATATCTCAGGGTCTGCCACAAAGAAGAGGGAGTCAAGCTATTCTCCAAAGCGCCTGAAGGCAGGATGAGAAGCAACGGATGGAAACTGATCAAGGAGAGAAGCAACCTAGAACTAAGGAGAAACTTCCTGACAGTTAGAACAATTAACCAGTGGAACAACCTGCCTCCAGAAGCGGTGAATGCTCCAACACTGGAAGTTTTTAAGAAGAAACTGGACAGCCATTTGTCTGAAATGGTATAGGGTTTCCTGCTTGAGCAGGGAGTTGGACTAGATGACCTCCAAGGTCCCTCCCAACTTATTATTATTATTATCTCTCGTGAACCCATTATAGCCCAGTTAAAATAAGTTAGCTGTTGTTAATGGTGAGACAATTTAGGACAAGGGGACTTGTCAGAATTTGGACGTTCTCATTAGACAATTTGTGGACAATCTCCTCAACTGTCAGAATAGGTTCTGCTATTGATTGGGTGATTGATTCAATTTGTATAGCCACCCCTCTCAAACCAGTGACTCTGGATGGCGAACAATCATGAAAACAATTAAAGCAGGATACAAAAAAGAAACTAAATACAAACAGCAGTCAAGATATATTTGTAATACGTCGGTTTCATCATATCCAGGAAGCTGGGAAATTCACCCACTTAGGGATTCCAGGGTTGTCACGTAGCCAGGTCTTTAAGACTTTCTGAAAGGCGAGCAGGTTCTGGGTCATCCTAATCTCAGGAGGGAGGTGCTATGGCAAAAAAGGGGCATCTCCTTGTCCTTGCCAGCTGACATGCATTGGCTGATGGGACCCAGAGGATACCCATCTGGCTGGACCAGATTGGACAGGTAGAAAGGAGTAGAAGAAGATGGACCCTCAGATAACCTGGTCCCAAGTCATGAAGGCACCTTGCAAGGTGGGCCTTGTTTGGAGAAAAGCAGGTCTTCAAGGAGCTTCAGAGAAACTTTTTATTTGGACACAAGGAACCCTTTTGAAGATAAGCATAGCCATAGCATCTATCATCGGGTCTTTTAGTTTTCTAATGAAGATATAACTTTACCAAGATCTTCCTTGTGTGAATGTTTTTTTCCCCCCTTTCTGCCTACCAGTTTGAAAACTAACTCTTTCTAATTTATTGCAGTGTTATTCTTGGATTTTAATAATAACTTTTTGCCTTCACTTCACCAGTTTGATTTCAGGGAAGGAGAGTAAAATACATGCTAAATAAATAAACAGTAAAACAGCTCTAACCTGAATGTGGTTTCATCGTTTCTAATTTGTTCCTGGGGACATTGCGTTTATGGGTTTCATTTATAGCCTACTTATTTGTTTTTCTCCCTTTTCCTCCGTCATCTTAGGTAGTGGACCTATTCAGTTATGGCAATTCTTGCTGGAACTTCTGACAGACAAATCCTGCCAATCATTCATTAGCTGGACAGGTGATGGCTGGGAATTTAAACTTTCTGATCCTGATGAGGTAAGTATGGGTTTAATCTGGACTGTACACATGAAAGTCCTGAGTCAAGTATTTTAACAAGATAAAAACAGTGCAAATATTAGAAAAGAAACAAAATAAGAAAGTAGTGGGAAGGAAAGGAAAGGAAAGGAGGAAAGGAGGGAGGGAGGGAGGGAGGGAGGGAGAGAGAGAGAGAGAGAGAGAGAGAGAGAGAGAGAGAGAGAGAGAGAGAGTGAGTTTATAAAGCAGTCTTTTTGACAGCAGTTATAAATGCATTTATATTTTACCCCCCCCCCCTCTAAGGTTACATACAGTGGTACCTTAGTATTCTGCATTAATTGGTTCCAGGAGATATGATGGGTAGTAAAAAGGACAAGTCTCAAACAAACCATGTGACTTATCACTTGACTCTTTGTTTCAGCCAGGAAGAACTTTCTGTCCTTTTTGCCTATGTCAGTGGCCTTCCCAGCATGGCTGATTTCCTGTCTGCCCTCTGTGGCTGTCCCTCTCCTTTTGCAGTGACCTTCCCAGCATGGCTGGTTTCCTGTCCATTCCCCGTCCCACTCTTCCTATAGCAGCGCGTCAAGTACTAAACAAAGGCCAAGTACTGGGACAACATTTTCATGTCCAATTTCATTGAGTAGTAAATTTGAGACTTTTGAAGCAGTCAAGTACTGGGATACCACTGTAATTTCATTTTTCCATAAGCTACCATTTCTAATCATCAAACCCATAAATCACAAGTTCATTTTTGCTCCCTTTTTTCAGCAAAAAGTCCATAAAGGGTTTCCAATCCTTGATAAATGTAATAGTTGAGCTTTCTCTATGCAAACAAGTTAATTTTGCCATCTCTGCTGGTTCTATCTTCACCAACCATTCCTCCGTTGTGGGTATATCAGAGTCTTTCCATTTCTGAACATATAATAGTCTCATCACAAAATAATCATCGGTGGCTCTTTTCTAGTTATCTGTCCATTAATCCCGATAAGCAAAGTTCTGCTTTGAGCTAAAACTTAGTCTTTAAAATTTATTTTATCATTGTCTGTATTTGAACCCAAAATGTTCTGCCTTTTCTGCAAGGCATATTAAAATGGCCCTTTGTGTTGCCCACATTTCCAACATAAACTTGAAATTGCTTTACACATTCTGACTAATTTTTCTGGTGTCAAGTTCTTTTTATTAAGGAATTTCTGTAGGAGTTGACCAGGCTGAGCCCAAGAGATGGGTCAAATGTGTCATTAGTCATGAATCCCGATGCGCCCACAAGAAATCTAAATCTAGCACACCTTGAATTCCTTTTTATTCTTAACTCCCGCACATTTCGCTTCACTGCTAGTAGTTCAGATTACTGTAGAGAGCTTAAGCTTGCAATAAATCTTTATACTCATGTGAACTGCCTGAATTTCCTGATTACCCCAGCGCTTGACAATTTTGTGAACTAAATTTTATGGGGTTCCCATTCTGCAGGTGGCAAGGAGATGGGGCAAGCGGAAAAACAAGCCAAAAATGAACTATGAGAAGCTGAGCCGTGGATTGCGTTACTACTACGACAAGAACATCATCCACAAGACTGCAGGGAAACGCTATGTGTATCGTTTCGTATGTGATCTGCAAAGTTTGTTGGGGTACACACCTGAAGAGCTCCATGCCATGCTGGATGTGAAGCCGGATGCTGATGAGTGAATGGATCCATTTTACCAAAATCGAACAATCTGCAGAACATAAGGACTTTTATTTCTTCCTTACCCCCAATCTTTATTTTCCTTTAAAAAAGAAAAAAAAAAGAAAAGAAAAAGCATAATTTTTCATTGGTTGTACTTAAGAAGGGGTAGGATTTTAAGCTTTTGAATGAAACTGTGACATAGATTGGCTGGGAGGAGGAAGAACAAAGTTTCCAATTCCAATTCCACCTCCAATTCTTTTTGGAGTTGTATTTGCAGCTGGGATCTTAGAAGTCAGGAAAAGGACAACCATTTTGTTCCATCTATTTAATGAATTCATATCATCCCCTTTCTTCCCGGTCTTAAAAACTGACAATCGGTGTGTTTGTAAGACAGTCTGTCTTTAACTGATGGAGAACAGTCGTAAGTGGCAAACTATCCTGTTTTACAGGAAAAAATATATCTGAATAACAAAGTACTGTGATCTCAGATAATTTTGCATTTCATAAAACAGGTCTCTGTTCTTCTGTTTTTCAGGGGGGACCAAAAAGAATCCTCCTTTTTTTTAAAAAAGAAAAAGAAAATGTTTAAAAGAAATGGTATTTTATTAAATTTTGTGCCAGTATTTTTTAAAATAGTCTTAAGCTCTAAAATGGTTTCAGTATTGCAAAAATCATGTGTTTGTTTGTTTTGCCAGCTGTGGATTTTTATCACCATTGTGGAAAAACAAAATATGTCTCTCTCTATATAGAACTCCACTAGAAATGGGCAGATGGGATGGACCAACAGAAATGGGGAACTCTAGATGAATGGGTGTTTTGCTTGAATGCTAGATTTCCTGCACTTTATTCTCTTATGTCAATAGCTCTGTGCCTCTGCTTGTGCATTTTCAATCTTGTCATTTTCATTCCTGAGATTTTATTTAGATTTTCCTCTACATGTTACGAGTACATGCTTATCTAGGATACTTTAAAGAAGAGTCTTGTTCCACTGATCAGAATCTGGAAGCATCTATTCAGACTAATAGATTTTATTCAAAGGTTTAGCTCTCAAAGGTTTATGCTTCTTATTGTGTCCATCTAGAAAGATGCTATCCAGTCGGTCTGATTTTTGCCCACCATAAACTAACATAGCTTTCTTTCGACAATTATTCCATTGTTGAATCGTAGGATGGTTGATTCTTTTGTTGTGGGCACAACTCAATTTTCCATCTGTTTCTGCTTGTTTCTGCTTCTTTTCACAGGTATCAGGTGCTATGAATGCTTTATTATGGATAGTGCCTTGTAATAGGACCAAATCGCTGAATCGGTTTTCAGACTGAGCTGGAAAATCCCATTCAGGTTGATTTTTCTGAATCAAGCTGAATCACTGAATTGGGTCAGATTTACAATGGGAATCAGATTGGAATCAATCGCATTCTGTAACAATCTGCAATGGAGTATTTTATAAGAAAAGATTCAGTAATCTCTAGGTATTCAAAAGCTCTTTTTAGATAATATAGGCGGATCAAATTATATGGGCTTCTGACTTCTGATCAATGTGTCTACATTCATAAGGATAAGAATTAAGATTAGGTAGGGAATATCAATATATGTTAAGGGTCTTCTCTAATTTGGCAGATACCTTTATTTTCATTGAATGGGTTTAAAATAAATCAGGGCCACCAAGCACGATCCCAAGTTACAATATATATGCTAATTTTTCTCCATGCTTTATCCAAAAATAAACAGGCTTGGTTGGTGTTAGGTGGGTTCTGACTCTTCAGTTCCATCATCCTGATTCGGATACAAGGAAAGAAAAATTGTATGAGAATTCAAAAGCTGATTGTTAGCCCCTTAAATACCTGAGTCCTAAATATCTACTGTCGCAAAAAAGAAAAAAAAACAGATTTTAAGACAGCATTTTTAAAATCTTTGAAAAGATGCTATTAACAGATGACCTTTTCCTGCTAGTTTTTGCTGTTTGTTTGTTTTTAATATCTTTCAAGAGGGGGGCAGGTTGAAGTTCAATGGGTTAATTTCTTTTCCTTTTTTCACTGTCTATTAGGATATATTTTAAGGTGTGGGGGGAGTATAGAATAATAAGATATTCTATGAACTTATATACATCCTCTTTCTGCCCTATCTCAAATCATCTGCTGATTTAAAAATGTGACTCATTTATTGACTCATTTGTAAAGCAATTGAAAAGGCTTTACAAAAACTGAAATCAAGGGAAAAGAACCTTATTTTTCTAGAGGTCTGGATCCTAAGTCGTCACTCCCCTGAGTACATCTGTCCCCGTGCTTGAGTGAGACCAATGGCTGTTATCAGCCTCACAGTTTTTAGGTCAACATTTAAACATTTGTGTTGTACACGATGAAATACAATGTGTGAAATACTCTGCAAAAAACAAATGTGGAGAGCCAATCTTTGGCAACCAGAGAACAGTAATATGATCTTCACTCACCCTCCGCCCCCCCCCCAATCTGTAATAGAAATGAATCATTTCAGTCATGCAAAATTGAAAGTAGGACAACTTTGAGTTGCTTGAAGTGTCAGCAGAATTTGACATAGAGCAGGTAGAACAAAGAATGTTGTCACTGTAGTTAAGAAAAACAAATGAATTCACTATATTTTAGGAAGACCCGCTCCTCTAATTGAATTGTCTTTGATAGGCCAGATTCAGGATGTGTTTCAAAAGGCATTGCCACCTGATACGATAAAAAGGTAGCCTGTTTTGAGTTTAATTTGAGTCTCCGTGAGTTCATGAACAAATTCACGTCGTTTTCTTGGCAACAGTATAAAAGCGGTTTGCTTTTTTTTCCAGGATGTGTGTGTTTGTGTGGGTGTTTTCAGCTTTTCAGACTAGCTTACAGCTCTGGCTGTTCCAGAAGTTCTCCCATCAAAGTACTGGATGGGTCTGATTTTATTTAGCTTTTTCATAATCAGTCAAGAGCAGTTAGATCCCTTTCAGATAAAGCTTTTGTAGCAGTGAAGTACAACCTGGCTCACAATTTTCCCCCAAACCTTGAACGTGGTCCCTAGAGCACCTCCAAAGTTGCGACAAGATTTATTTATTTTTCATGTGACAGAAAGGGTCAAACAAAAGAGCCATTGTCTTCAAAGTATTTAATTTAATTTTAATTAAAGTTCCATATGAAATCAATTTTAGTTTTTCTACTGATCCCTTCTTTATATTAACCAGGTAATCGTAAAGCGAGGCTGTTTGAAGCCATGAATGTACCATAAAGGCTTTTGCAGTTGTTTCAAGGATTGTCACTCATCAACATTCCTGAATGTATTTTCACTCCAGTAGAGAGGACGTGAAGTGGAGTTAGGAAGATTAGCAGTGACAGACTTGCTTTTCTTGATACCTTTTCGCTGGACTTGGATCACTTTTATGGCATGTTAAGGTCTATCTTCTATTATGCCTCTAACTGCATGATATAGAACTGCTAAAGGTGTTGAGAATATGGTTAACTATCAGTAGCTGTAGCCAGATCTGCAAATGCTCAAAACAAAACAAAAAAAACCAAAATCCTGATAATTCCACCATTCTCAGTCTTCTGGTACTGATTAGCCCAAATATCCAAAGTCTGTCTGTGTAGATAGCCAGGTTGTGAGCAGTGGATGACATCCATAAACTTAAGGACCGGCTGAAAATTCTTGGTATGGTTTAGAGGAAGATAAGCTTGGTATTTCTTGGGAAGATACAGAAAGAAGATTTTGAGCAAGGAATACTGATAATAGCAGTTATTCTTGCAATGAAAGAAATGAAATCAGGACCAAGGGCTCAATAAGATTTGATTCCAGTGGAGTGAAATGAGGATATGAATAGAAAATGAGAAAGAAGGATTAGTGGACGTGGAAAAGGATGGTATTCCTAAAACCTCACATCTTTTATTTCCTTGTTGTCATCTATGGTATTTGGGGGCTTTAGCCCTAAACCAAGAGAAAAAGATCAGACTCTAAGATATTAGTGTGTATGTGTAGAAGACAACTTGTATTGTAAGTGAAGTCACTGTATCTCAGAGTTATTATCCTTGTGAGCCTCTGAAAATAGACATCCAACTGTTTTGGGGTAATTCCCATTGTTGTTGTTTTTTTAAAGTTAATTTAAAACAGCAAATTCATTTGACATGCTATTCAAATGACTATGTCCTTTGCATTATGCATTAAAAAAAAACTAATGTAACAGAAGCAATCTTTTCCAGGCCGATAGATCCAGGTGTGCTGAAATTTTAAGTTTTAGAATTCCATCTATTGGCCATGTTAGTTGCAGTTCCAGAAATTAAGGTCCCAGGACCTTACATGGACAAAATTGTTTTAGAAGATTTAACTACTGGTATTGAATTGTTGAGTTTATTTCATAGTTCGGAATGCTCTGTGCAAAAAAACTAAATACTCACAATAAATATGTTGAAGCAATATTAATGGCAGCAAAACATACAATGGTCAAGATTTTTTTCTGGGGATATATTCCCATCTTTTGATTTATTTTTTTCAGTCAGGTATTTATAAGGAAAAATGAAACAAAGGTCATAGTGATACTTCTTAGTATTCCTACAATATAATCCTTTGCTTCTTGATTCAGGAGTAAACTGTGCCAACTTCAAAGGAAATTTGACCAGGGAGATGTATGTAACACTGAAGTTTTAGGACATTAATTCAGAGTAGCTTTCTCCAACTTGTGTCTTCCATCTGTGTATAAATTTGTAGGAGTTTAACATATTTGATGAGGAAGGCTGCTTTAGACCAGGGGTAGGCAACCTTGGCTCTTTTATGACTCGTGGATTTCAACTCCCAGAATTCCTGAGCCAGCAAGGTTGCCTACCCCTGCTTTAGACCAACTGAAGATAAGCCTATTTTTATACTGTTGGGTTTATACCTTTTTGGATTAAGAATCAGCAAACACTTGTGATTTTGACATGAAACAGAGCATCTCTACTCAAGTATATTTGGGGAAATCCTCGTGGTTTAGAACTGGTTGATTTTTAACCTTCTAATAGACCTGCTTTATATTCTATCAAACTCTAAACATTCATTAATGATAAAAAACAAACTTGTACTTTTTTTACTCAGTCATTTGCCTGGTACCT